ACTCCATAGATTAAAACCAGGTAGTATCTTCAGTATGTGACCACTAGAAAAATGCATTTATAACTTCTGTATCAGAAGACATTTGTTAAATAACTTAGTAGTGAGTGAATAAGGATCATACAAGCACTGTACGTATATAAGCTTAGCTTTCAGACACATAGAACGCATCCTCATGGAGTATATTAAAAATGATGAGTCCTCTGTCTTTTCCTTTCTTCCTCCTTTCCTTTCTCCCTGCTTTCCTTCATTCCACAGTTACGGGCCCTCTCTGGTTTATGTCAGGTGTTTTGATTGACACTAGAGCTGTAAGACATGCATCGGATTCTTATGAAGTCTATAGTCTAGTAGATGAGATAAGCAAGCAAATCAAAGATTAAAAGGTCTCTGTGGTTAGAGTTTTATCAAAGGTTCTATCAGTGCAATAAAATTAGAGAAGAGATGGTGGAGGCTGTGTTGTTGATCAGACTTTGAAGGGTGAGCTGGAGTCAGTTGAGGAAGGATGGCAGGCCCAGGCCCAGGGTGAATGTACACGTCACACAGTGAGGCAGACTTGTGGTTGGACTAGAGGGCCGGGAGGAGCATAAAAAGGAGATGTGCCTAGAATTTTCTATCCCTGGACAATCGCCATTAATTTTATATAAAACATGTTACATAAAAATTCTAAAATCTACGAATTATCTGACAAGCCTCATATTACTCTCTTAGGTAAGTGCTGAAAATGTCAATTTCATAATAAAATAAAAGCTGATTGCATTTATTTGATGTCTATTAAGGCCAGTAGAAATGATTTATTGATTTTTTTAAAGAAAAATATATCTTAAAATGCCACTTTTTTGGCAAGAAGTTTGTTAATAGATCTGGAGTTCTCATATACCCCAAAAGCACTTTTAGTTACAAAATGTTAACAGTTTGGAGAAAAATCAATAGAATAATCGGAAAACTCATGCAAGGATGAATACAGAGTAAAACAATACTGTTGCCGATAGGCAGTTTTTTATTTTTTTAATGTTCATAGTTTGAATTGTTTCACTCATCACCTGAATCCAGATGTGGACTAGTAGTTTGGTTTTGGTTTTCAATGCCCTAAGAAGTGAAGTCAACACAAATAAATGAAGAATACACTCTGAACACGGCTAGATGTTGGGAAATACAGAGCAAGGTATTGCATGCAGAGACCTCCCACAGGCTCATTGGAAAGCCTCCTGCAGTGATCTTGCCCAGGCTAAGCACTGCATTCCTGTGTGAACTACATGTAGAAGTCCATTTGGAATTGGACAGCCAGAGAAAGTTTGTTCCTCCGCATAAACTTTCTCGCATCATGTAAAGTATCTGCATCTTAACTTTCTCTTTTAACTTATTTATTGGAAACATCTTAGCTCCAGCCTTTGGCATATGATTTTCTTTTTTCCATTTTTATTTGCCTGTTCTTTGTTTCATTACATTCTTTGAAAGAAATAGCCTCGGACAATCCATGACCATCGTTGAAAACTGCTTTAAAAGTGTCTATGCAAATAGAAGGGTTAATGGCATGAATGTGTCAAAGAACTGTGGCTTATCATGAGAATGTAATAATAATTAAACATGACTGGATTTCCAAGTCCCTACTATCAAAGGACAGTTGCCAAGGTAACTAGACCTACACTGCCCTACTAAGGCGGAGGGCTTATATATTTCTCCTGCTTTCTGTCTACTTACTGGCTAGGGAAAATTGGTACTTTAGAGGTATTTGTGTGTTGTGATCTTAATAATATTTACTTAGATATTATTAAATATAATTATGTATTAATATTGCATGATATTAAATATGCATATTTGTCTAATAACCACTAGTTAATAAGTCATTGTGAAATGTTGTGACACCTGTCACTAATTTGGTTATAAAAGCAGAAAAACAATGCCAACAGTTGAGGACCTGAGAACACTTTGTTATATGCCCATTCTGAGTTTCACCTACTGACTGGAGCTTGTTACTGTGAACTGATTACTCAAAAGCTGAGGTCGTCAAGAGTCACTGCCTCCAGCAGAGGAAACATTTCACTAAAGCAAAATGAGACAAGCTAAATACACTGGCTTAGGAAAACAAAACTTGTACATCAGCTTTCTTTCCATAAGTTATGTTTTTAGAAAAATAAACATAAGATATTTTTAAATGAGCACTTGGGCTCCAATCATGCCAACAGGAATTGTAGATGAACTTTAACAAAATGGCCGCCTGAGAGAACCTGTGGGAATGATCTGGGACTCGAGCTCTTCCCCCACTGTCTAATGAGGTTTCTCTTTGGCTTTGGTTTCTTCATCAGAAAAGGAGGAGGCAGAGCCTAGGGATTTTTAGTCAGTCTCTAAGCTGGAAGACAGCACAAACTCGTTACTGAAATTCAGCTAAATTGAGGGCCTAATAATTTCTTCCAGGCATGTAGTGATGTGTGATGCACATAATCTTATTCTAACTTGGAGAATTTGAAATATTAAGGTTTTTTTCCCTGCCAACTAACCTTGAATTTGAATGCTGATGGGTGTGTCAAGAAAGGCCTTTTGTGTAGGATGGTGCCCCTTTGACCCACTGTCAAGGAGATATGTACTTGACTGACTTCTTCAGGAAGGGAGAACACATCTTGGTGAAATCATCCATCTCCTATAAATTCTGAAGTAAATGCCAGGCTTCTACGTCTTTGGAGAGCAAAGCTCATTCAAGGTGACTATGGCTATAGACTACTGTTAAGATAGAGCCTTGCAGATGAGAAGCCACTGTGGTCCTAGCCCATTCCTGCTCATCATTTATTGTATGACCTTGGGCAACTTATTTACCTTTTGGCCCTCAGTATTTTCAAATGTAAAATTGGGTAATAATGGATCCCACCTCTTAAAATTAAAAGGAAAAAAACAGTCTAAACAAATGTCTGATACAGTGTAAACACCCAGTAATGATCTGTCTTGATTTATTACTGTGCATATGAGGGATGAATATATGGCCTGGATCTTAGCCTAACCCTATTGCAATCACCTAAAAGTAAAATTAGAGAGGGAAGGTGAAAGGGGCTCCTGAGAACCCCTCTGTGAGCTGGAAAGATGGCGTTTAAACTATTCCTCCAAGACTGATGTTTATGATTCTCTCATGGCTCTTTAGGGAATAAAATTACCTCTGGTTTTGCTAGCCTAATTCAATGTCTGACAACTTCTCTCAGCCAAGAAGTTATTCCTTCTGTGTGGCTTAATTACCTGTCGTTGCAGTTCCAATTTGGGGTGAGAGAAGGGATAGCTGGTATGACTCTGAGATAGGGTCCTGCTTAAAACTCCCAGGTTTGACATACACGTGTGTAGATCGGTGCATGGCTTGGTTAGACACTGTTGATGGTCTGTGTCTTCTAGTCCAGGTTTCCTGGGACTCAAGAACCCTGTGTATATTTGCAGGGCCACCAGTATGGATGGAAGAGAAGATAGCATTTAGCTAGGAGAACCTAGAATACTTGGCTTTGTGCTCTCACCCAGTGTAACTTGCACACATTTACTCTTTCTATGCATTTGGATAAGAGATTGCACCTAGAGGAAAAATTTTGCAGGTAAAGAAAAATTGAAAAGCAGAAGGTTCTACATGTCCTCAACAAGCGCATGATGTGGCTGGTCACTTGGCACCTCACTGTGTTGCTTCATGTCTCTGCTCTTCTGTGCTTCCTGTTTAAAAGTGTGTGTGTGTGTGTGTGTGTGTGTGTGTGTGTGTGTGTGTGACTTAGCTCACAGAGATGGTAGGAGAGGGAGAATAAGTGCAAGAGGAACTTTATAAATCCAAAATCTAATTACTGTGAGACCTTTGATGTGTTTGATGGAATACTCTTGACCCATCATTGAGTGGTGGGTATCCTGAACTAACAGCTGTAAAGCAGATTGGCAGTGACTGAAGCTCAAGGTTGAGAGGAGAACCATTTGGCTCACCCCAGCGTAATGAAATAGGCTTGAAGGGATATTGACCAAAATAAAGGGAGAGAATGCAGGTTGTGTGCAGGAAGATTTATGACTGCTTAGTGCTGTGCGGATGTGGGCTTGAAGACACTTGCTTCCTCCAAACTCTACCTTGGATGGATGTCGGGGTAAGGTATTCAGTGTCTGTGAACTGCTTTCTTGCCTGAATTGTATCCTGGCTTGTAAGCAGTAGCCTCTGAGCTGGTGGCCTTTGAGCCCTGGATGACTCAGAAGACAAACTCCTCTGCCAGCCTGAACCTAGACCACGAGCCTCAGTCCCTTCCCTCCAGTGGTAACAAGACCAAGGAGCGTTTTCAGAAAGTTGTAATTCACAAAGTCACATTCAAATGGCATATCTTTCCCCACATTTGGTGGAAAATTCCTGATGCATGTGAACTCTTTGTCTTTGTGGATAGCTTTTCTGCTGGGCCAGTTACTCAGTTGGAGACACTGAAGGTTAAGCTGAGAACAGTCTTGATTGTGTGTGATGTATTATGCTGGGCATTTCATATAGTTACCTAATATAATTCTTACAACCATGGTGGGCATCTTCTCCATCATACAGATGAGAAATCTGAGATTTAGTCTCTATGGGTTTTAGTCTCTGTGGATCCAGAGTTTGGATGAACCTCAGAATAATGGTTCGGTGTGTCACAGGATGAAACTAGAGGCCACCTGATACAACTTTCACAAAGGCCTGAAACAACTTTCCATGGAGCAGATTTCTCTCCTCTACACCTGAAATCCTCTACACCTCTAACATACAGGTTTCTTTCCCTTCAAATTGTTTGATAAGCCAGAACCAACTTGATCCCTTGGAATGGTGCGCTGACCTTAGCATTTCCACTTTTCTCTAGTGTTAAACGCTGATCACAGAATAGTGTCCCTTCACTGCTGAATGATGTATACTATAAATCTTCAGTCCATCTGAATGGATGGATTAATGGATGAGTGATAAATGGTGGTGTCAGAAGGGGCAGGGCAAGGACTCTATTCGGGAATAGTTGGCCATCTTGCCATATCCACACGCTGTCCTCTTTTCCCAGGGTGGTATGATCGCTCTGCTGCTGTCCATCTTGTGCCTGGTGATGATCCTGTACACACGACGACGCTGGTGCAAACGCCGCCGCGTCCCCCAACCGCAGAAGAGTGCCAGTGCTGAGGCAGCCAACGAGATTCACTACATTCCTTCTGTGCTGATTGGTGGCCATGGGCGGGAGAGTCTGCGCAATGCCCGCGTGCAGGGCCACAACTCCAGTGGTACCCTGAGCATCCGAGAGACACCCATCCTGGATGGCTATGAGTATGACATCACGGACCTGCGCCACCACCTGCAGAGGGAATGCATGAATGGAGGGGAGGATTTCGCCAGCCAGGTCACACGCACGCTGGACTCCTTGCAGGGCTGCAATGAGAAGGCAGGGATGGACCTCACGCCAGGTGGGATGGTGGAAGGGCCACTTGCTTAGTCCTCTTTTTGTCTCAGGGAATGCAGGGGAGGGGGGCATTAAGGGATGTGCCAGTGCCCTTCCCTAGGAGGACAAACCTGTTTCCTGGAATGACTGGGCTGTTTTCTAATCTAGAAAATCAGTAGAACAGTGTAAAATCAGAGCCTTTCTACTTCCGTCATGCACTGGAAGCTGGGATTTCTTTACATCCAGCAGAGGAGTGAGTTACAGCCTGTGTAGGATGTAATAAGCAACCCTCTGGGAAGTAAGAGGATTGTAAGAAAAATCAACATGTGTTGACTTTTTTTGCCTATCATAGATTTGCATAGGCAATTTAATTCTCTAATGAAGTGGAAGGGACTACACTGTTTTTTTTGGTTTTTTCCACTGACATCTAAGAGTTGGACCTGGGGTGTTTTAGTTGTGTTATCTTGTCTTTGCCTCTGTGGTCTCTACAAAGGATTTATGTGTTCAAAGAAATTGAAGGAATGCAATCAAGGTATCAGATCTCAATGCTTTGTGTATCTTTGGAGACACTGAGGGGAAGCGACTTGGATTTAATCCATCAGAACAAATTCAAGGTAAAAATAAATGGAAAGAGAGAAAAACCGTACTTTTCTTCTACAGTAGCCCACCTGTCTCTCTTCAAATTCCATGTTCTGTGAACAAACACTTCCCCATAGATAAATCCTTGACAGTGATCCTTTAAAACACTGTGCAGTTACCTTTGAGAAAAATGAGTTTTTACCCCGTGCTGTTTAAGATATTCAGACTTTTGGTGGGGCACCAAAAAGTGAAATCACACAGAGGAAAATGAAAATTCTGTTTGCTATTCAGGCGAGGGCCTATCTGAATATTTGTTTTCGTGATACTAAAATCCTGGTAAGTCTATGCCTGAGAGTGGAGGTGGGGCATGTCTTCAGTAGCTCTCATGTGCCCCACAGCACCTGGCACAGCGCTAAGGGCACCAATTATGGATACTGTACACAAGGTTACACACTTAGATGACTTCAGGGGGCAGACAGATTGCATAAATATGTGCAGCAGCTGGAGATCAGACAATAGGGAATGGTGCAGACCAGGCGAAGGAGAGGCATATTCTGCCTGAGTGCACACAAATTCAAATTCAAATTCTTTTAAAACTCTGTGTTGCCCAAAAGAAAGAAATCTACAATCTGTATCTAGCCAAAGGGCAGCAAGTAGTAATGTTATTGATAAGGAATTAGTTGAATTGGATTTCCAATTGTAATCCTCTTACTTCATTCCTTCTCCCATAACTTTGTAGCCCCTAGAAATCAGAGGAGAATTTTAATTTCTGCCAGTCTCTCACATTAAAGGTTCCTTATGTTTTACTTGGTTCATAAAGATTTCCTTGCTCTCTTTCTTTGAGCTTTTCTCTTACAGTTTTTGTCTCGACTCTTCCTTTTGCAGGAAGTGACAATGCCAAACTCTCACTGATGAACAAGTATAAAGATAATATCATTGCCACCAGTCCTGTGGACTCCAACCACCAACAGGCCACCCTGCTGTCTCACACCTCCAGTAGCCAGAGAAAGCGGATCAACAACAAAGCCAGAGGTATCCTTGTCTGATGTTAGGGCTCACAGTTGGATTCCTGAATTGAGCAGAGGCAAGAACATTCACCATGGTCACCCACACACTCACCACTAACTATACCAATTAAAGGCTACTTATTGAAAAATGTAAATATACAAACCTTCTGATCAAGCTCTTTTACCAACAAGAATGTATGCTTAGGAAAGAACTGGACAAGAATACAAGGATGTGTGTAAAAGACACTTTATCACAACATTGTTGAAATGTTGAGCTATAAGTTCACGAGCAGGGAATGGATTCACTGCCATGTACATCCCTCCTCTGTCCAATAGCTTATCATGCAGTCCTTTAAAATGGTAATACGAATCTATATTTGATAACATGGGAAGTTTCCCACCCATCTATTAAATGGAAAAAATGGTGTTATAAAAGATAATGTACAAAATTGTGCCATCTAAAGGAGGAATTAAAAACCCTTTTCTGTTTCTGATCAGAAAAATATATATTTTAAATGTTAATAGAGTTGCTTTCTGATTTAGAGTATTTCTAGTAACCAGATTTGTTCTCTTACACATTCTAATATATTTTCTCCATTCTCTCATTTGCATTAAATATATATTAATTACAAAAAGCAGAAAAAAGCACAAATGTATGATATTCTTTGCTGCCATGACACAAATTCATTCTCTACCATCAGCATGCTAATCTATAATGGAAATTTCCTTTTCTTCCATCTTCCACACTGGGGGTCCTTGCTGGCAGATAGATGCCAGCAATGCCCCTGGGCAGTGTGACACCCAGGCAGGGTGGGGAGTAGAGCTCTGGTGATTGCTGTGACAAGGTCTACGTCGCCAAAAAATCTACTTCTCAGGAAGCCCCCGTTCCCTTGGCTTCAGGCTATTAGTTAATGCACTGTTATTTTTGTAGCTTTCTCTGCTGAACTTACCCAGGGGCTAGGTGCCTTGAAGATACCACTGAATCTGTTGTTTCTGCCATGCTTCTTTTCATTCCAGCTGGTTCTGCCTTCTTGAACCCCGAAGGAGACTCTAGCACAGAGGCGGAAAATGACCCTCAGCTGACCTTCTACACGGATCCCTCTCGCAGCCGGAGGCGCAGTCGAGGTAGGAAGGGAAGAGGGACGGGAAGATATTTAGTAGGGGAAGGAAGGGCCTACACTGGGGCTCTGTGAGTGAAAGCCAGTTGGTGCAGGGCGAAAGCTTGGACCACAACTGGTGTTTCCTCTTAAGGAAGAAAGAGGAACTTAGAGTGGAAATTTTCAGAGAATCATCCCTCCCAGATAATGACACTCTCAAACAAGTACTCAAGTTGTTGGAAAGGCTATTTCCTGGTCAGAGCACTCTCAGTTCCTTCAGGCTCTGGAAGCCTCAGCAGTTGTATTTTCGCAGTTCAGACACAAGAAATAAAGTTGATAATATGTTATACGTGAAAAAGAACGGGAACTATTTGTATGCCTTGCTTACTCACCAACCCTGGGCTTGAAATTGAGCTTGGCAGGGATGTGGAGTGGGAACGTGGGGACGCAATAGTTAAAGAATGATCTAGGTCTGGCTCTCACCCAGCAAGATTTTAGGACCTAGGCCTCCAGCCCCCTCTTCTGGCAGAGTTCAGAGAGCTGGTCCATGCTCATTAACACTGATGAAGCTGTCTTTCCTGCAGCCAATGTAGGGGCCACTCCATGGTGATGCTAGTAAATGACAGATGGCTGATGTAGCTGTCACCATCTGTGACTTTACTGGTGTCACCATCGTCTCTGCAAGATTTCTGTGTTCAGACACCAATAAGGTTCCCCGTTCACTTGCTGCTTGATACTAGATAAGTGCAACAACTTGTCTGCGCCTTGGTTCCCTTGTGTACCAAGGGGGTTAACAGTGCGTTGTGTGTAGAGCTTCTGTCAGGATTAAATTATATTAAGATTTATGGGGTCTGGGGGGAAGACCCCACTGTGAAGTCCCTATTGCTGCTTCTCCACAGTGCAGCCCCCAGCTTCCAGAGTGTGCATGTTCAGAGGTCTCAGGGTGTCCTGGAGGTCCCTTTATGTGGCTTTTAGCAACACATTCCCCAGCTGGTACTTAACCAGCTCCCAAAAAGGAAGCACATATTGGCTCTGCCCTGTGTCCACTTAAATTCGCTTCATACAGAGGATGCTCTTTCCAGAGACTGGAGAAAAGCTTTCTAATTCTAGTTTCAGGCTTTGTAGACTTCACTGTCATCAGCAGTAAGGATTTTTTGCCATTTTCCTAAAGAGATTGGGGGAGGGTCTCAGGGTAGCCTCACTCCAGAAACCTTAGTTTCCCTGAGGTGGGACGGTGGATGAAGGTGTCTCCTACCCCTTGATCTTCACTACATAGCACAGAAACTGAACCCAGTCCCATGCAACCTAGGCACTGTCCAAGCAGGTTGTCCTGCTTTCATAAAATTTTGTTTATAGAAATCCTTAGTAATGAAGTAGAATGAGCCTCTTTACAGCATGAAACTGTTTCTTTGAATAGCAAGCTTTGCAAGTACATCACCTACTTACTATTATTAACTAGACTGTAAGCCTCTTAGAGGTGGAACATGCCTAATGGATTCTCCAAAGAGCCTAAAAAAGGATTTCATCTATTGTGGGTGTTTGCATTTATTTAATTGGACTGGATATATCAATCCAGCTAGCAACAACCTTTTAAACCTACCTGCTATAGGACAGGCTTCATGATCAGTGGTAGAAACATAAAAACATAGGAGGCTGATAAGACTGCATTTAGTGGTATAAATAAAGTAAAATGAGCACTAAGAAAAGAGAACAGTAAATTCTACCTAGCAGCAATAGGAGACAACAAAGAAGAAAATAATTAGAACTGTGTTGTATGCTTTGTAAAGGATTTCATGAAAGAGGAGCCTAGGATAAGAACATTTCAGTAGAAGAAAATAGCACCCACAAAGCCTTGAAGGCATAAAAACATAATGTTTTCATGGAAATGGAAGTAGTTCAGTACAGGAGCTTTAGACCAAGCAGAAAGAGAAGCACACCAGCATTGTAGGGAAGAGGCCAAGGAACCGTATATGTACCATGTTGCTAAGTTTGCACCTGCTTCTGTAGCAAACGGGGAGCCACTGCAGTTTCCAAGCCAGGTGGAGATGCTGGTTTATTAGTTAATGATGCAGACCGAAGGGAGAGACAAGAAGATCAATAGCAGTTGATTGCAGTCACATGATAACAATGGCAATTGTCTGTAAACAGGGAGGACCCGTGTGATAAGAGCTGTGACAGCAGGGCATACAAGGACCAGAAGAACGAGGAATGAGTGAGAATCTGTTCTTGAAGGTTTCAGGGAAGTGTTTACAGGGAGGCGTTGTTTGAGCAAAACTTGAAGATTAGGTGTATACCGGGATGACAAGGTGACAAAATGGCCTTCTGTGGAGGAAGCAATAATGTGCGCAAAGACACTGAGACATAAAAAGCGGTGGTTGAGGGAGGCAGCAACCAATAGTTCCTAGAATGAAGTTTAAGGTGCAAATTTGTCGATTGCTTAGAAAGTGAAACAACAGAAGTCAGGCTGTACATGGACGTGACTGGCTTGGGCCTGCCATTTCATGCAGTGTCACTGGGAGATTTCAAAGAGCATCACCCTGTCAGCTCTGCTTTGCAAAGCGCCCCTTTAGGACAGTGTGAAGATCCGGTGAGAGCAGCTGAGGTTGCTGCCCACAGCCCCTGTAGAAGATGACAGTGAGGGTAAGCAGGGAGAGAAAGAATGGAGATGAGAGACATTATAGACCCACCAGAAAAAGAAAAATAGAGTTAATGGCATCGGTGGTATAAGGGTGTGACTTGTGAGCAAGAGGGAAGTGTTAGACATAATGCAGGTTTTTGATTTAAGAAACTAACTAGACACCAGTGCCATTTGCTGGGTAACAGAAATAAGAGGGAGTTGGGCCCGAGAGAAGATGGTGAGTCCAGTTGTGGAAGGGCTGTATTTTAGTGCCTAACAGATGTGTTGGTGATGGATCTGCTGCTCAGAGAGGGCGGGGCTCGAGATCTGTAAGTGTGTGGAGATAGACTCTGTTCTGCAAAGACACTAGCTGGCCTAGAAGAGTTCCAAGAAAGGTCAGGGGAAGCAGAGGCTGCTAGACTTGCTTGAGCTTCATCTTAATAATAAGTAATAAATATTAACACAGAACATAAGAGCACCCCTCAAAGATCTCCACATGGTGCTACCTTGCTTTCTAACTTTCCCACATTGATTCTGCTTACTAGCATTTGATTCTTTCTGTCGGCCTCTTGTGACAACAACTCCAAAACAAACTAAACAAAAGCCAAATCCCTCCATTCCCATCCCTGTCTTCACTTGCTAGAGTGCTTCTCTTTCCCCAGCAATGATCGTTCTCTTCCATGATGACAGGAAGGTGTGGAGCTTTCTGGTCTGCTCCATCCATTCATCCAGAGTGCATTACTCGGTTCTCTTCAGTTGAGGCCCCACACAGCAAGAGTCCCCTGTCAGAACTCTCCATCATAGAATAAGCTGCAGCTCCTTCTGACACCAGAAGCTTCACCTCAGTTGTGACTGTTACCCAGGTCTTACAGCCCTCAGTTAGGGCGTCGTCTGTGGGCAACTATGGAAATGCCCTGTGGGGCTAAAGCATGCTTGCCTAGGCAAGCCAAGTAAAGAGAAAGATGACTCTTTTATAACTTCTCCCATGAACTTGAAGGATGCGGGGGACTTTCACTTGGCTCACCCTTATTGACCATGAGGGTCAAGGTTGGCCAAATTCTCTCCTATTCCAACTGATGACATGATGCCTGTGAGGATGAAGGTCACTGAGGTCATGCAACCGAAACATTTAGGTTAAGTTTATCTGCCTTCTTTGTTTTCCAGAATGGACAACCAAAGGCCATGTTGGATTTTCAATGCCAAGATTTTGACCTACATGCCTTGTTTATTTTTTTCACTTTCAGTGGGTTCTCCCAGAAGTCCTGTGAATAAGACCACCTTGACTTTAATCAGCATCACCAGCTGTGTCATTGGCCTTGTCTGCACCTCTCACGTCAACTGTCCTCTTGTTGTCAAAATAACCCTCCATGTCCCCGAGCACCTGATTGCTGATGGTAAGCTCATTCTTCCAAGTATGTACACCCCCACCAAAGAATAAGGCTTCCATGTTGAACAAAAGACAGAGAAGCCCAAGAATCACTGTTTCCTATTACTATAGTGTGAGGGGAAATAAACTCAGCTAGATAAGATTTAGGAAAAGGTTGAGTTGCTTGCAATCAAACTAAGAAAGCAGGTTATAAAGAAGTAAATGTACCACTTCTTTTTCTCCATACACATTCTATTTTTGTTTAAATTAAGCCCCTGTCTTTGTAGAGAAATAGAAAACACACTGGCTACTGATAGGAAGTACTAAGTTTCTCTCAGCCTTTGAGAAAGAAAAAATGTAGAAGTAGAGGTGTTTAAGGATTAGCCATGCTTTTGGGCTACTTAGCCCTGGTGAAAAGTTCCTAATTGCAAGAACTTGCTATCAGCCTAAAATTTGGAAGTAACACTTTACTTTCTTCCAGGGGGACCCCGATATAATGAGAGAATAATATAGATTCTGAGAGTTCCTGAATCATTTAAACCCACTGCACCTAATTGACTTGTTAATGTCTCTTCTTTCGTTGCTGTAAGGCTAAACACAGGAGGGGACTGTTTGCAGTGCAAGAGGGCCTGCTATTTCATGGCAAGTGAAGACAGGCAGCGAATCCCCTTTCTTTGGATGAGTGCCAGTGCCTGTGGCTGGGGCTGATGGAACCATGCCACGGCCGTCACAGAGCTTCTCTGTCCCTGTATCCCTTAGGAACACTCTGGCAAGATGGGCTGGGTCACAGCAGGCAAGGGATGATATGGCTGAAAGGCCTAATGGCCCTGGCCTCACGGCAGTCCATGTGATGTCCAAAACTCCATCTGCTGATTCCTTGCTCTGGTGCTAGTGACAGACCAGGACTGGGGAGTAGTGGTCTTGGACGGGGACTTACTCTGTCTTTGGTGGCTTGTGTGTGTTTATTGCATGTGCATATGCAGACCTGCTTCCTCTCTGTCGCCCTGCAGGGAGCCGCTTCATCCTGCTGGAGGGGAGCCAGCTGGATGCCAGTGACTGGCTGAACCCTGCCCAAGTGGTTCTCTTCTCTCAACAGAACTCCAGTGGGCCCTGGGCCATGGACCTCTGTGCCCGGCGGCTCCTGGATCCCTGTGAACACCAATGTGACCCCGAAACTGGTAGGCAGGAGCACCGGGCAGCGGGTAACTGTCAGAGAGATTGTGCCTCTTGCAGTCACTTCCTTGGAACTCAGAACCTCCCCCTCAATGCCACAGCCCATTGCCATCTAAACCTAAAACATGCAAGCTGCCAGTGTGTGGTTGGACCACCAAGCATAAAATATGCAGACATCATCTAGAAGACTCAGCAGGATCCTAACTCAAGGCCCAGTCCAAAAGTCCAGTCCTAAACGACCTTCAGAGCCCAGTTGTCATCCATCCAGTCTAGCCACAGGGCTAGACACTTTATCACATAAAATTAATGCATGTTATTGGAGAATTTACTTCGATACTCCAAAAGTGCATAGAAACAAATTATAGCCATCTATCTTTCTATCTCCTGGATAAATCAATTGTAAAATTTTCATATCCTCCTTTCCAATTTTCTCTCTATTTATGATTTTTAAATGCTTCCTTGGAGCATAAGTCTACTAGCTTTTTCCTGTTTTCATTCACTCAATATTCCCTTATAAGGGTTTTCCAAAATCATCCTCAGAAATATAATTTATTTTTGGCAGTACTAGGGGTCAAACCAGGACCTTTTACATACTAGGCAAGAATTCCATCACTAAGCTACATCCACAACCTCAATTTCGAGCTCATTTGATATTTCTTCGTATGTCTCTGTCATAGCTCACTTAAATAGTCCTCTATTATTTGACATTTAGAATGCTCTAAAATTTTACTGTTTGTAAATAACCTTAAAATGAGCATCATTTTATGTGATATTTGTGGGGGATGTGGCAAGTTTTTTGTTTTTCAGATAAGACTTAGATCAAGATAAAGATTACTGCACAAATAAAGAGGATAGACACCGTGAACTCTATTCTATCATAAACGGGGCTTGAGCATTTCTGAGTGAAAGCCTGGATTCAGGCCTGGCATAAAGGAGCTTCACTGTGCTCCTAAAGCTCAAGCAAGTCCAGTAGCCTAGATCTGTTATTCCAGATTGTTGTGTACTTTCATCCCAGGACGGCTTCATCTAGAGTAGTCTTCACAAAGGCCTGTTTCTATTAGACTAAGTGCCACAGATCAGTATTTCACAGAGAAGTAGTATGATGCCTTAAACAAAGAGAGAATTTCTGAGATAAAATATCTGAGACCTCTAAGCAAAATGTTGCTCAAATCAAGGACCAAGCTTTTAAGCACTTTATACCACGTGTAGCCTCCAACTCTCTGTGTCTCTGTCTCTGTCTCTGTCTCTCTCTCTCTCTGTCTCTCTCTCTGTCTCTCTCTCTCTCTCTCTCTCTCTGTCTCTCTCTCTCTCTCTCTCTCTCTCTCTCTCACACACACACACACACACACACTCTTCAGGCACTGAGCTGGAGGGCTCTCAACCGTTGTTTGAGTCTAAGCTCTTTAGTCCCTACTTCATTGTAATCCATCACTAAATCTCTGTGGGAAAGTATCAGGTAACTGTGACATCTAAAGTTCATGTTCTTAGGTTTTAAAGTTAACGTGGGCCCATCACAGAGATTCTAGGTCCCCATATGGAAGAGAAAGTACAGCATTTTAAACATCTGATGTCTGAGGCTGTGCTTACTTGCTGCTCCTCCCACGCTCAGGCAAACACCAAACCAAACAGATGGGCTGTGCACCATGCCCAAAGCTAGTGTGCTCTGAAGATATTAAAAAGAGATCATCTCAGAGGTGGGGTCTCTCTGAGCAACTAAGCTAGTCTCTGGTACCCTCATTCTCCAGCTGGTTCAGATTAGGAAGATTTGGGACAATTGTAGCTGTTAAATTCTCCTCTGAGAGAAGCATGATCTCCAGAGAAGATGCTGGAGACATCCTGGGATGCTTCCATTTGGGTTTTAAAGAAAAAGAAGCAATTACAATTACATATATGTGGAAAGAAGAAGAGAGCGGTGTTGTTTGCTTTGAGAACTGTCTCCTTTCTTCACATCAACACTTGAATTCCTCTAGAAATTACTAGATTTACCCAAAGTCCCACAGCTACCTAAAGTGAGAGTCTGTGGTTAATCTATTGTGAATTCAGAACAGAAGTGGGATTACAAAAGGATGTTTAATTTCCTCAGACATGTCAGATCCGACATTTGTCACTCAGAAGTTCTGAAGCAACAGCGATTACAGAGAATTCCCGTGTGAAGAAGCTGCTGCATCAGCCCTTCAGTCCCTCCCAGATGTCTTGTTCCTAATACTTAACTGAAAACTAACAGTGGCAGTGGGAGGCCGTCCCCTGAAATGGTTCTCCAGTATCATGACAACTTATGAACTTCTAACTGGAAAGCCATATAGGAAGGAGACTAAAAATAAGAATCCAAGCCCCACAGCAGAATTAAGGTGCAACATCTTCATTTTTGGTAGCAGCCGAGAAATGTGCTGCAGAGACTTTTATTTTCATTAATGCTGGAATTGGAAAGTCCCCCCTACCCCCTCCCTTCTTCTTTCTGCACATGGAATGATGTGGTCATCCCACACGCTCATCAGTAAGAAACTTTATCGCCTCCCACACTCCATCCTAGAGCCTTCTCCAAAGAGCTGAGTGTGGGAATTGGCTTCAAGTCAAGTCGACATTATTTTTGCAATCCTCCAGCTAGCTTACTTGGAAATGTCAAAGTGTTGGGACATGTGCTTTCCAAGCCGTGCTGAAGGGTCTACCCATATGGATGTAAAGATCTGTGCAAATGTACATATATACTTTTTCACACACACGTGCGCACGCACACACACAAACACAGATGCTCAGTTGCTGCAAAGGAGCAGCCTCCAGTGCTTGGAAGGCTTCTCAGGCATTCTCCCTAAAAGTGTCCCAGATCTAAGCCTGTATTTACCCATCACGTGCATGGCGCTCCGAAATATCAAGTGTGGGAGACAGAAAAATCAGTTCCTAAAGCTGTGCACATCCTAATCTGGAGAATCTCTGAATATGTCGTGTTGCCTGGCAAAAGACCATGGCAGTTGCATGTGGAACAGAGACTGCCAAACAACTGCATTTTAGGAAGATTATCTGGGTGGCTCCTATGTAGTCCCAATGGTCCTCAAAGTACGAGAGGAAGGGAGAAGAGGAATTCAGAGTGACCTGATGTGAGAAGGACTAGGTCAGCAACTGCAGGCTTGAAGAAGGGGGAAAAGGGGAGTGAACCAAGAAACACTGGCAGCCTCCAGAGATGGAAAGGCAAGGAAACCGACATCCCGAGAGCCTCCAACAACTAACATAGCTCTGTAGACTTTGATTTTAACCCCCTTAAATCTTCATCAGACTTCTGTTCTCCAGAATGATAAGATAATAAATGATGTTGTTTTAAACCACTAAGTTTGTGTCAATATTTTACTGGCGATAGACAACAAATATACCCAGAAATTAGAAAAGACAAAGACAGAAAGGACAAGTCTTGCAGCACTTCCTTTTCATATGCTTCCCACCCAGATCTAAAGATGTACTAAGAGATGCTGAAGGAACTGGAGCTGGTCTGCTTTCCATCCCCACCTCCCTCTGTATTTGCATTCCAGCAAAGTTCTAGCTAAGAAGGATGGGATGTATCTGCGGCTCTTAGTTCGATGCTTGGAATACAATAGGACTAGATAATTATTTACAGTCATGAAAGATTCACAGATCTTCTGATGAATGCCGGTGTGCCTGAGAAATGTCAGGAGTATACCCAAAAGTTTGTCTGCCGTTTTCGATCTGCTGAGCACTGCGACCTTCTAGCAGATCTCAACTTATTCCGAGTTGTGACCTAGAATTTGATTGTTTGGTGACTCAGAATGCAGGTGGATCAGTTTCAGCCTTTTGACAACTTCAAAAACCGTATTGTGGTCCATCTCCCCACTACTCTGCTGGATCAGAGAAACCAGTGTGAAGTGCCTAGAAAAATGGTTTTCAGTAAAAATAAGGATAGGTAATGTTTATAGAGAGCTCACTGTGTATCAATCACTGTGCTTTACTTACTTTATATAATCGAAGCTTCATAAGAATGCTATGAACACATGCTATTTTTAATCCATTTTATAGAGGCATGAATGAACTGGTCCAAGAGCATTTGCCTTGTTAATAACCTTTCTAGACTTTAAAGTCAGGCTGCTTCACACTGGAACTCTCACTTCTGATCATTTTGCAACTCTTCTCCTGCTGCTCACCTTGCAGAAGAAACAGGGTGGAAGGCTTAGAATTATTGCCCTCCCTAGAGACCTCAGAGAGCTGCAGCCCTCAGAGACGATCTGATTTCAGTAACATTTCTCCCCTCTCTTTTCTTGACCTTCCGTCTGCCATCTGGGCAGTGTGCAGACTTTATATACCTGCTTAATGTCAAATCGTCATCAGTTATGACCATTGACCCTCATTACCATTTTTAAGCTATATAAAATTTATGGATATGCAAGTAGCATTGACTTCCAAGTTAAATCCATTTTTAATCTCTGTCCAAGATGTTCACTGAAATCTTTTCTGCCCCAAGTTTTTCCATAGTCCAGATCCTAAACTGGCTGACGAGTAGTGGACGGTGTTTCCAGACTAGCCGGTACTCTACCGTTTGCCTTCTCTGAGCTACTGCCTCTTTCTGTAACCTTCCCTGGGTGTTTTAGAGCCCAGTTTGATAGGCAAGCCCAGTCCTTATCATACTCCTGAACCTGAATTGCCGATTCATTCCAAGCTCACTTTTGTGACTCCATTACAGCATAATTTTTTTTTTGTCTTTTTCCTTTTTATCGGTGCCAGGAATCAAACTCACGACTGAGTGCTTGTAATGCAGGTGCTTATGCTGCTGAGCTAAATCCCCAGCTCCTTACAGTACCATTCTTTAGGATGAACTATCACAGGGCTCCTTCTGTCTCCTTTCCAGGAGTTGTTGTCTGTCATTTATTGATGAAGCCCCTCCAATTCCATTTAATAAGTTCCAACTTCTACCTGAAGCAGAAAGATGAGTCAGGGATTTTGGCCTCCATCTGTGTTTACTTTGTGACGAGCTGGTGGTGATTCCAGTCATGCCTGAGAAACCTCGGCTTCCAGGTCTTTCTTTAATCCTTGGATAGGATTACGCCTTAGTAGAATGGGAAATGACTGAAGGCACTGGCCATGACACACAGGCAGTGTATACCATGCAAAGCATTTTTTCTCAGGGCACCAAGTGCAAAGCAAGTGTAGCACTGTATCTTGAGAGCTTGTCTCTGACAGTGTGGTTGACTAAGTGCCTCCTGCAGCGTATACTAGGATCCTGGCTGGGTGCTTCTCTGTGACCATGACAAGTCTCTTCATTGGATTCCTACATACCCCATCACAGAGTCAGTGCTCATGTGTTCACTGCCATCTGTCACAGCAGATGCGGAAACTGTAACACTTCTAGCTTAGGAGGGCATCCAACACCCTTGTGGGGTCTTTAAAATTCACAGCTAACAGTGGGAGCCTGTGCTTGCACAAAACCCCTCTTAAAGTCAAGATTTAGCAGTTGGTTGCCATAGTAACTTTGCTCATCAAATCTGAACTCCTTTCGGTGTAGATGGTCAAACTGGTTTTGAGGAAGAATACAGAAGAAGGAAGTTTGGGGATTTCTGAAAATGAGGATCTGTTGAGAGGCAAATTTGAATATCCTCAAACCCTAGTTTGTTGTGGTTGGAAATTTCTGCTTCTTTTACATGAGACTGTGTGTATCATTATATGGAAGAAAGCTTTATGTATTATCAGCTGTGTGTCCCTACGTGGTGAAGGGTGATTGAAGTCTCATAAGGAGATAATGGCTGCAAAGACAATTTGAAGAGGTAAATGCACTATACAAATGGTAGGTACTGCTGTTTTTAGGAAAATAAAATCCTGCTTGAATGCTGGAGTTGTTACTCTATTTGTCTTTTTGCTGTAATTAGATATCAATTATGGAAGAGGATTCTTCTTTTTCCAATCCTTTTATTAATCCATAGTTCTAGGTAAGGTGTCCAAGAAAGACTATCAAGAATTAGAGTGACGGGCGTGACACAGTCCTGGGATTATTCTTGTTTTGTAACATCACAGTCATGCCTAATCGACCACAGGACAATGAAGAAAATATTTTTTCCCCCAATGGAGAAGTTTGTTTGAGCCCATGATCCATTAATTGACTGAGATATCTGTATCTGGAGAGGGGGTTTGATAATATTTTCTATAAAGTTAGGGCAAATGCTTTAACTTATCTATTTATTTATTTTTCCATTGCCCATAGTATTTATGAAAAGCCTATTCTTAAGGAGGAAACTAACCGTGACCCTGTTCCATACAGCTTATAGTCTGAGTTCCATGTTTTCTTTGGACTTGACAAGGTATGAAACCAGGCTCCCAGCACTTTCCTTCTTTTCTCTCTGCTGTGCTTCCTTTTATCACTCCCTCTGACAGACAGCTTTCATGACAAGGCTGGTTACCACCCACCTAATTTCGAACTGTATCTTCCTATGCTTGACTCTCATTCCCTGACCATTTCTAGATATAGCTGAGGCTCAGTGAAGTCAGTAAATTTGGGTGGATTGTGGATCAGTAGGTTCTACAACAGGCTGTGTTATAGAAGCCAGAATTTGCCATGTAGAACACAAAGTGCTGATCTCCAGTACTTTCTGGGGAGTTTTCACAAATTAAGAAGTTATTTGTTTTACTTTGAGCTAAGCAGACATGGGGGAGGAAAGTGACTATGATGTGGTAATGAAACCCTGATGGAGAACAGTTTGCAGGTCAGTCTTGAAATGAATACTTGAGCTAATATCCCAACATAAACTCCTGTCTCAGACTATCCAGTCCTTTCTCAGCAGTAAGGCCATTTTACTTCATTTTTATTGGGTTTTATCTTTGGAAAGAGAAAATAGCACTGAAAGCTATTATTTAATTTATGTCCTTTTGCAGTGTCTCTCTCTTGGGAGCAAGAATGACTATATGCCTATTGTCTTTTTTTTATTTTTCTTATTTGTTCATTAATTTTATTTATTTTTAAATTTTTATCTTCATTAGTATATGTTTGTAGTACATAGTGTTTACATTCATTTTGAGGAGTTGGTACATGTATGTAACACATTATAATTTTTTTGATATTCCTTTCCCCGCCCTCCCCCAGGACTGTGAGACTGTTACTTAAGGCATGGTACCTTTGTCAGTTACTAATTCCAGGTTCTACATTAAACAACCAGCTATTGAGGGAATGAAAACTAGGGCTTCAGGTTAACTGGTTTCAGTAGTTTGGGGAAAAGTATCATTGCATAAGAAATTATTAAAACAAGGAAGCAACATCAATTTTCCTTAAGATGAGCGCTAAACTGAGCAATGACTGCTAATCTTTTTTCACTTGTAAATCAGATGAATGCTATGGAATCCTGCTTTATACACATAGTTTTATGTGCAGTTCTAGAAGTTTCATAGACCTCTTGGTATGACAATCGAGGAGCTAATGATAATGAATAGTAACATCCTTAACAAATACAGAGCCTTTTGTTTGTCAGTTCCAAAGTAATTAGTTCATTTTTACTTGTAAGCTAAACCCAGATCCCCCCATAAAACTATGAGAGGTATATAGGGCCTCCTCCAAATGTGGAGTTGCTCTGTGGGCTTGCAGTATGGTGTGATGGGGAAAAAAGTTCTGGAGTGAAACAAAGATAGGTTCATATATCAACCCTGCCACTGACAAGCTGCCAACAATTCCTCCCATTTTCCAAGTCTTAATGTTCCTCCATCAGCCTAATCGAGCTGGTAATACCTACTTTTTAAGATTCTTAGAAATATTTGATGCAATAAAAATACTCACCTATGCAATCTTTAAATATTTATCAACCACCTACTCAGTACCTTGTAGTATAATGGGCACTGAGAAAAGAAAGATTAAAAAGTCCCTTCTCAAAGTACTGGTGCTTATAGTGATTGCAGAACAGGTGCTTTTTTAGGCATTAGATTTTTCCACCGAGAAAACTGACGTGTACTAGAAATCCAGAGACTGGCAGGTGTCTTCATCCACAAAAAGCATATGTAACCTAATGGGATGTATTGTCTCATCATGCTGCCATTGGATTCTGACCATTTCATGTTCTTTTTCTCAAACACAGACATGTTAATTCACTCATGTTTCTCTTTCTTCCTTCCTATCCTGCTTCTAAGGGGAATGCCTCTGCTATGAAGGCTACATGAAGGATCCAGTCCACAAGCACCTTTGCATTCGGAATGAATGGGGGACAAACCAGGGGTAAGTGAAGGGATGGCAAGTTTGCTGCTTCCCATGTCACTGCTCCCTTACCACACACGACGTGGATCAACACTGCATAGAGGAACAGAGTTAATGGGTGGTTATATTCTGGACAGTGAATTGGTAAAAATGTCACTGTGCCTTTCTACTTTTATGCCATCCCATTGACGTATGGATCGTCTTTCTCTCCATTTACCTCTGGCTCACAGCCCCGCTGCCTCCAGCTGAGATCTGAAAATCAAGCTGTCCCTCTCTTCCTTTTCACACTGCCACCAGCCAGGCAGATTCTGCTGGCAGAACTTAGCTGACGATTTTACTGGAGACACGTGAAGCCACACAGACTCTAGGGTAGCCCTCCCTGGCCGTGAGGAGCTTTGCAAGATGGAGGTGAGCAGAAGCTTGCTCTCCCTAGCACTGTACCCAAGGGTGAAGGGCAGAGACTGGGGGAGCGCTCTGCCAGGAGTGAGAGTACGTTTGCCTGATCCCCAGTTACCATCTCTGTGAGCTCTTTGCTTTCGCCCAAAGCATGCAGGACTGGAACAAAATTCTTACCTCTCCTATTCCTTTTCTTATCTTCATTTTTTACATTTTTGAATGTTTTTACTGTGATAAGACATACATAAAATTTACTATTTTTAAGTTTACAATCCAATGTTGTTAATTACATCCATGTTGCTGAGCAGGCATCATTGCTATCATGTCTTAGGTTACTTTTTAAAGACAACATTGTGCCTTGTTTTGGATGCCCATAATTTGCTGTTTGCATTAGATGGGTGGTGAAGGAGGAGAAATAGATCAATAAATGCTAATTAGTAATAAAAATCTATGGAACAGGGAAAACTAGGAAGAAATCAACGCAAAAGGCATCTTGAGTGATTATTAGGACTGAGCATTAGATATGTGTTTGTAGTCTGAAAAGCGGGAAAAATTAACAAGCATCATTTCAGACTGTACCGTGGAGGACTCACATTGCTGAGGTTGATGATCAGCCCTTTCTGTACAATTCTATGAGGCCAAACCTAGAATATAGAATGTAGTGCTGGACTCTCCAAGCAATAAATATGGTGACAAATGGGCGAGGGTTTGGAGAGGAGCAATAAAAATGATTGAAGAGCCCCAGGGAGTGATTTATGATAAGGGGATAAAAGAACTCAACTCTGAGGACTTAGCCAGCCGATGACTAGTCAAAACGTGATAGATGCCCATAGATGTTAGAAGAGGGTAAATGTTCTGAAACAGGTTGAAGTTGAGGGATAAGGACAAGAGAGCATGGAGTTAGGGAAAGGAAATCCTAGTCACAGGTCAGGAAGCTTGCGGAAGTCAAAATGCCATGAAATTTTTCTATTAGTGAAAATGAAGGATTGCTCAGTTTCAACCGAATTTGAGATCATATCATAGAGGCAGCCCACAGAATTTAGAGGAAGGTGTACATAGAAAGGCAAATACATATAAGATGGTCTGTTATTATTTAAAGATTGGTGAGAAGGGCAGAGACTTGGCAAATATGTATCAAGTGGGATATCAGCAAAGAATCCTGTTTGCTATTTGAATTCCGTGTATTTGCCTATTTTAATCCCCGAAATATTTGCATTTTTGGAGCCAGCATTTTTTAGCTTATATGATGGCTAAAAGCATGAGTTGCCCATGATTACTTACTGAGTGACATACTCCAAGAGTGATAGATACCACCTCTCTATCTTTATCTCTTGCCTGAAAACAACTACAAAATATCATTTTACTTTTGCCCAGAATGATCCCGCCTGGCTTTTTTGCAGTGATTGAATTTGGAGGTTAATCACCTAAGCTTCCATATCCCTAGTCTTGTAGACAGATCTTGCCAGGGTGGGCCTGAGTTCACTTTGTAATTGTGCAGACTTTCATCATTCCCTCTGGCTGTGTGTGGAGACAGTCCTGGGCTGTAGACAAGGGACTCTAGGGAAATGGTTCCCCCCACACACTGGTGTCACTTAGAACAAGAGAGGCTAAAGCACTGAGCTGCAGACTGACAAGAACATTAGCCCTAGGAAACAGACAAGGAGACCTAATCTGTTATTTCCATCTCTAATTTCCATTATTCTATGATCATCATTGTCTATGAGGTCTCATTTTGGACACTAATAAAATAATGGAACAACTGTTAACGAGGGGGAAAAAAACCCTTGAAAAACAAAGCATGACTATTTTGAGGATAATGGGACCATTACTGAGTGTATGTGTTTACATAACAGTGCCAGACAAATGATCACATTTTTCCTCCTAAAATGACAAGATAAGTGAAAGTAAGAGATACCATGCATCTTGATTTAACTCAAGGATCTGATGCCATGTTTCTTTAACTGATTCTAACAAATTAATCGAAATTGGCTTGAATGTGAAAACTGTCACTAAAATTGAAAACTGACTGACAGATTGCCAAATAATGTTACACATTGGGATATTATGGAAAAATCAATTACAAGCCTCGTTTTCCTGAAAATTTTATTTAGTATTCCAAAAAAGGAAGATAAGCATCCCATGTGTTTTTTTTTCCACTTAGCATTCTAGTATTGCACACCTGAAGATATCCTAACACTCCTCTGAAGTAGAACAACCACATTCTAGCTAGTAATAGTTAAATTCTTTTGTGAAGAATTGAGGTTGATGTACCTGGAGAAAAGTGGCACTAAGTATTCTTGACTGTCAGACAAGAAAGAACATTGATCAAGGGCACGAATACAAAAAAGATACAAACAGATGCTTCTGTGAGGCAGAGAAGTCATGCCTTTAACTTTCTTCAGTTTCTGCTTAGGTCTTTAGTTTATTGGTTGTGTGTGTGTGTGTGTGTGTGTGTGTGTGTGTGTGTAGGTGAAGAGTGACTAGTCTGGTGTGTATCTGTATGGTCCATACATATGTATGTATTGTAGCATTTGTATAATTGTGTTATGTGTCAGTGTGTATCTATGTAAGCCAGTTTGTTTATAAGAATCGTTTAACCATTAAATTCCATCATTTATTTTCCCACTATCTCATAATTTTAACAAATATTCATTCCATTACTATTCTGATCCAGAGTATGTTAGGTTGCTGTAGCTAAGAAGAAGCAGTCCCTGCTCTGGCAGAAACAGAGGTTTAAGCAGGTAGATGAAAATACAAAAAAAAAAAAAATAATAATAATAATTACAACAAACTCTTAAATAAAGTTGCAAACAAAGGTCTACGATATTACAGTTTAAGAAGTAATTGATGTGAAGTCAAATAATCTGAAATAAGTCCTCACAAAGAGGTTGGATTTTGAACTGTTCTATTTGACACATGACAAAAGAAATTCTAAGCAAAAGGAACAACATGTACAAAGACACAGAGATATGAGAAGTATACTTTTTTCCAAGAATTATAAATAAGCAGCTCAGTATAGCCTATGAGTGCATTTGCAGAGACAAGAAAAAAGGCTGAGGTAGATAAAGAAAAGACCTTAAAGAGGTCTGGTTTACTAAAGCTTTGAGCATTAAAACCCTCCTTAGAACTGTTAGCAGATGGAGGGAAATTCCAAGATAACTGTATATTTAAATGTGATATTTCCTCATTACGCATTATATTTTGAGATTCTTCATAATAAATTAAATAACCTTTTAAAAAGACAAAATTAAACCCAAAACCTTTTGGAACTGACCAGATTTTTATTTATCTGGATTCTCCAAGTAAAACATCTTCCTACAACCATCCTGTACATAAAAATTTTCAACAGCGAACAGCAAACAATGAGAGACTGGGTGACCATATCTGTACAGGTAAATTGAGGCAATCCCAGTTATTTCCAGATGACTCCTGTTGTGTCAAACTGAGAGAAGAGAGGCAAGTTGAGGTGTTCATGTGAACCTGAGTGGTGAAGCCAGTCGCTCCGCTCACCCAGGTCACAGGTCCAGGAGGAACACTGCAAAGTCAGCAAACTCATTGTACAGGGAAGTCCTGCTCATTCACCAGAAGTAAAAATAGCCCAACAAGATTGAAACGAAGTCACAGGTGACAGATCTTTAATGGGTCTATAAAGGAACGTGGGGTTGTGAGTTTGCATCCTTGGTCTTTGATGCTGGTAACCAAATCAGTCATTATCTGCAACATCATCCCTTGCGGGGGACACACCAGACAGAGGACCCCGCGAGGCAGGGTCTTAGCCCATCGCAGTAGTTTACCATGTCCCCTGTCCTCTCTGCACAGAGTCCCTGAGTAACTCCGTGGCCTCCCATCCCTGTAGCTACACAGACACAGCCAGGGACAACTAGGGTCTGTATTTGCTATTTGTTTGCTAGGGCACAGAAGATAAATTGAAAAATTTCACAGATGAGAAATTAAAACAATAAATGAGAGTAGAGGAGATAAGAGAGATTGAGTTACATGTAATACTACAGGAGGAAAGTAACAAATTTATTTAGGTACTTTGTAGTTATTAAGAGAGGCTAGAATAATGCTTTTTGTTTAAATTAAAAGTGTACCCAAGGGCCTCTAGATACATTTTTCAGAGTACCACAATTAGATTAAATTTATGCACCTGAAGATTCTCAGTAAATAACAGCCTGATTTCTTATTGTGACATCTCAGCTACAGAGGGCAACACCAAGGAGATTCTCAACTAGAAAAATATAAACTATCTCTAGGTTTCAATGCTGAAGGATGGAGATGGCGGTGATTCATGAGATGAGAAAAGACCTGCTGTGGAAAGTGAACAGGTGCTCCTCCAAGGATTTAAAAGCTGTTTTCAGGAACGGCCCTGCTCTTCAGAACACCTCCTCATTCTCTTGCCTGCTTGGGAAGTGACACACTTACTGTGACGCATATGTGTGAGCACACACACCCTCACTCCTGCACAGCCCACCTTGCCTTAATATGTCCTGTCCACTGATCCCTAGTGCTTACTGCTCCTCTTCTGCCTCTGTCTTTTGAGCCACCCAGAAGGACTGTTTATGGATTCTACATGCATTTAAGGGGCGAATGTCCCAAATGCAGAATGCTGTTTTCTCTAAAGT